CTAGCTGGTGATGATGGACCGCCCCCCGCTCTTCTGTAACAGACGCACGAGCCTACTGCAGGTGCTTTTGTGCAACCACCACAAAAAACTATTCCATCTCCAACTCTAGCAAGTTTTGGGAGGGTCTGCTGGTGTGGGCGGNACAATTTTCATGCACAGGGGCGTGAAAATTACGCGATGGCTGTCTGTCTGCGCGCCCTAAATNTGGACACCACCCCCCCCTCTAGCGAATGATGATGAATACCACCCCTCTCTCTAGCTGGTGATGATGGACCGCCCCCCGCTCTTCTGTAACAGACGCACGAGCCTACTGCAGGTGCTTTTGTGCAACCACCACAAAAAACTATTCCATCTCCAACTCTAGCAAGTTTTGGGAGGGTCTGCTGGTGTGGGCGGTGCAGCCCCACTGGAGGGGCCGTTTTCAGACATGTAGATCTCGTGGTTGGCTGATGCGATTGGGATGCGGTTTGTTGTGTGGTATAGCTGTAAACCCAAGGTAGAGGGCTGTAAGCTCGCTTTTTCGAGAGGAGCAAAGGTCACCTTGGGCGTGGAGCAAAAAGCTCAAAAAAACATGTTTTTGGTGTTGTTCGTCCGCCCTTTGACTTTAAGAGAAAACCGAGCTTACAGTCGCCTCTATTGGACTTGTGTCCAGGTGTGTGTAACGTATGAAGAGCCACGCTGCTGCCTGGGCGCAGAACTACCTGCACAAACAAACTGAGTGTAGTATTTAATCAGTATAATAGGCGGGCACTCTCAAGAGCCGACAAAGAACCCAATCCGTGTGCCCCCCCAAAAAATCGCTGAATTGACCGGTCACATTTTTGGCTCCAAAATTTGCCCGATTGACACCCCTAACCGTATACGACACGAGTAAACATACCCCCTCGAGCGATTTTCATAGCTCGATTACGCCACGACGAAGAGGATGCATAAACGAAACGATACATTTTCGGAAAGCTCGGCGAGACGGTTTCAACGCCGCCCTTTTCGACACCCCCGCTCTTTCTGCTGTTGAGAAATTGAGCCTTGAATCGGTCCAGGGGGTGTGATATCTTGTGTCGTTTACGGTAGGTCATCGGGCTACCTACCTACAAGTTACCTCTCACCCAACGTGGTGTACTCGAAGGTTACCGAGTTGTGAAGAACATAAGGATTTTCCCTTCTAAGGGAAAATGCGTATGGATTGACGAGGAAAAAGCATGTGTGCCCTCGCACACAGAAGTACTGCTGCATGCCTATCCTCTAGACAAGCGAGAGACTTGACAGCACACAGATTTCTTTGGACAGGCTGTGGGAAAACAGAGCGATAGAGAGCGGAGAGAGAGAGAAAGAGAGAGAGAGAGAGAGAGAGAGAGAGAGAGAGAGAGAGAGAGAGAGAGCGAGAGAGAGAGAAAGGACCAAAGTTACGCCGCATGGTGGATCTTCGCCAAACACCCGGCAATTGCACGCTGCGAAAAAGTAGCACGCGTGCAGAGCGACAACAACATTCCTGTCGATGATGGATGGGCCCGATGGCGATACAGCCAAGGATAGCGTGGCATACACTTGCGAGTGCACAGCGGCGACACGCGCCGAAGTCGCAAAAACATGAGCGAGCAAGCTCGGGTGTTGTTGCCGGTGCTATTGCCAACAATTAAACCCACAACTCCTCTTTTCACGGGGCTGGTCATACGCATACATATACACACCTGCCACAACAGTCGCGGGAATAGCCGTCAGGAGGGTGCGCCTGTCGAAGGGTCCAGCAGACAACCCAGAGTAGTCCGAGTCGGCCATGTCGTCGTTGTTCTGCGTCATGTGCAGTGCTCCTTTGCTGGTTTCCATGATCGGCGGTCGCAGCAACACAGGTGGGACTAGGAACGAGCTGCAACCCGCCATGAAGGCTGCTAGGACGGTAAGGCGCAGCATGGTGCAGGCAAGCGGGTGTGTATATGCAAAAGAGCAGCGGCAGCGGAGAGCGGGTGCCGGGTGACAGCGCTAGGGGGAACGAATCATGTGACGTTTTTCGTGGCTAGGGTGGGGGGGGTGGGTTGGGGAAAAAACACTCTTTGTGCCCCCCACCGGCTTGAAATTGCTTGACAAAATCTTGAAATGGATAACACACAGCCATGCTGTCGCCTGCCACACAACAGCAGTTGTGCAGTTTCTTTGCACGTGACTGGAGTTGCTACCAGGCAGTCTCGACGTGAAATACGGCTTCTGGTGATGGAAGTGCTTTGACCTGTGCTTTGTTCTACAGCAGCAGTACTTGTTGTCTTCACAGTAAAAAACCGTTCCGGTATCCACTCTCTACCTTCTATTTTCCGTACTGGTCCAACTGACGCGGACGCCTTCCGTCGTCACAAGCCAACTGCCCCCCACACCTCTGAAAATAGAATACATAAAGTATAAAAAAAAAATGAGCACCAGAAAATTCCTCCAAGCAACGCGCGATTTGTTATCCAACCGAAAAAAGATCAATCCAACCGAAAAAAGACCAACAGACAACTATATTCGGGATAGAGACGATCGACGACCGACACCGGTCAAAGGGGATGAAACAACGAAAGGCAAATAAAGAAAGAATAGAAAGCGAAAAAGATAAAAACAGAGAGAAATACAACAAAACAATCATACCACTCATTTTCGGCATGTTGCAGTAGAAATGACAAAAGCTCGTGTGGATATAAATAAACTAGGCACGACGCTGCATACGGGTGAATTGTTGCCAGGGCGCAGTGGTTAGTCAAGGCCATGTATTCTTGTGTGCGCCCACGACTCGTCGTCCGTGTGTTGGCGCGTATCACGTGCTTGGTGCGGTGCAAGGATTGTTCACCTCCCACCGTAGTCATGCTTGAAGAGCACCTGGGGTCTTGACTTCCCTTTCAACCATTGTTAGACGGAGGCTTTTGCTATTAGTGTGTCGCTGGACAAGCTATGCATCAGTTTGACGAGTTTGCAATCGCCGTGCCGTGTTAACGTGGTGCTACCTCGTCGAAGAATGACATTGGTTTAGCGTACAATCAAAAGGACCATGACCAAGCGCATGCAGCATCTCACACCCATCGTGACCATGAATGTGGTGTGGAGATCCGTGTTGTGGAGGATTGAGACACCCTTGTCGCTGTACGAGAAGGCCATGTACCATCAATGAAGCGTGTGATAATACTACTGGCGATCACCCAGACGGTGCAATCACAGTAGATATCGCGAACCTCCCTCTCAATAAAGCTGCACGATTTCTACCGTCTCTTGAACACTGGTTGCTCCCACAAAAAAAAAATCAAAACCGCCCCTCTCTTCGCCAGTTTCCCTGCAATTTGCCATGCGAAATGAAACGTCCGCGTGGAGAGCACAACGGTCCTGTAGCCATTGTGCCGGTGCCGTCTTCCGACGCTGTTGCGCACTGCTGTGCACCGCCGTTGTTGCTATGTTCGAGGCCGCACGTAAACGTTTTTCTCGTGTAGCTGCTCCAGCTCGCGCCTGGAAAGGGATGAAGCATGGCATGTGTAAAACGTTCGTTGGTGCCTAGGTACACCCGAAGCGAGTATCACGGCGGCCGGATGTGGTCCTTTCGCCCTTCCCTCACCTCCACACCTCCGCCATCAACACGTCCCCAAATCAACATTGTCGAGTAATACTTCCGGACAAGATGGGGAGGACAGCCAACACAATGTGGAACAGCCGGTGACATCGGCATCACTGTCGTGAAAACATTACGCAAAGTACACATAGAACTGAATCAACTCCGAGAGCCTCGCATAATTCTAGCTCGACACACGCGCATTCTCCTAGGCGGTTCCTGCCATACGTGCACAGAAATCAGGTGGGCAGATAGCACTCACTGTATCTCTTTGACGCTGTCTTTCTTGACGAAGACATGTGTGGCGTCCAGATCCGACACCACGCACGCCAGCCGTGCGTCCAGGCTCATAATGAACTGCTTCGTGGGCACATCGCTGGATACAACAGGGAACAAATACGGCGGTAATAAACTGCAAAGAAAAAGGTTCAAGTTCACACAGCCATCGTTTTTGTATCAGAACACCCATCATGAACGACAAAACGAGGGACAACCTTAGGTAGGAAGGGGCGGAGGCGGGGAAAAAATACCAGTCATAACAGCGATATCGAGCGGCGACGACTGAACCAAAGCGATTTCGGGACCTTATTCGAAAAAAGACAAAAATGGTGTTCATCTCCCTTGATTCCGCGTAAAGCTACATCAAGCAAAGTTTGCAGCGGCAAGTGAAACATCACGTGTTCGCGCGATGCTCAGCACAACAGCGACGACATGAATGAGGACAAGGCAACCGAGATCGATGAAATAGATCAACCCCATCGACATGTTCTGGGCCCTGTTATTGTAGGCGGCGCGTTCCCCCTAGAGGTGCCAAAGCGAATTGTTTGTCACCGTGGAAGGGAAACCCATTTCTGAAATGTCATCATCACTGCTGTGCCTGTACCCGAAGACCGCCAAATGCAATATGCTCCGCTGCTTTGCATGTGCACCTCTATGAGGAGTCAAGCAAATTTTCGACCTGTTGGCTTCACACGCATGCATAAATACACGCCTTCACGAAACCACCGCTTTGCACTTCCTGCATGTAGTACGTAGGCCGCAACACTGGCGCGCATGGTTTCAAGCTTCCATCTTTCTCTACCGTATGTAGGTTGTAAGATGCAACACCGTGACAAATTTCCAAAGCTCGACTACTCCACGACGAACAGGATGCCACCATCAAATGGGACATTTGGGAATGCTCTCGACGATACGGCGCCCAAGTTGCCTTTTCCGGCAACGTCGCTGCTGAATGTGGCCGTGGCGCTGCAATGTGTACTTGATAAAAGTAAATCGGTTCGAGGGGGGTGGTATCTTAAGCAAAAAACGGGTGAACCAGCGTCAGGAACGTCACAATGGCAGTACGGTGAATAGAGCTACCTATGAAAGAAAAACGCGTTTGATCTAGCAGTATTCTAGCGCACTAGACCGTTTGGGCACTGCTGTCTAGCGTCTACAGCAGTGTGCGGCAGTACATTAAGTCGACCCTACTCGGTGACCGACGCACTTTTGACACTTGACAAAGCTGCTAACGATTGCGGTAGGCTTCGACTTAGGGCATGTAACAGACCCGTTCCCATTCCGTACCGTACCAGGTGATGAGAACGCCCTTGCTGCTCCGGTATCCTGTGCTCATCGCACAACGCGGCAGCGTGCTGTGTGCTAGTGGTCGGATCGTTGTTGGTTGTGTTTTTTTTCGAGACTGTGACGAGATTCAGCACCGACCGACGGCTTTATCCTATTTTTCCGTCGGTCGCAAACCGGTCCTGTCGTTCTGTCTCTCTCCTTTTCCTCGTCGTACCTACGAAGAGGAATACTGGTCCACGAGATATTCATTGCGGGTAAGTGTTCACACTACAGTCCACACACCGTTGTCCACCGGGACACTGCTGCTGTGGGGTGTAGACAAGGACACGGCTGCTGTCCTGCTGTACAATCTGTGTACAAACTACTTCTTTAGGGAATATACGAGACTGTTGATCTTTTTTTTGGTTGGATAACAAATCGCGCCTTGAAGGAATTTCTAGTGTCCATTGTTATTTGCTACTTCAAGGTGTATATTTTTGAGAAAGGTGTACCCCGCCGCGCTACGTGGGCCAGTTGGCTTGTGACCACGGAAGGCGTCCGCGTCAGTTGGACCAGTACGGACATTAGAAGGTACTGAGCTGAGACCGAAAAGGGTTTTTTAATGTGAAGACATAGACAACAACAACCCGTTCGAGAAATGTCCACCGTTGAACGACATGTGTTATTATTGTCATTGTTGCCTTCACAAAAAAAAACAATCCGATCTCTCTCCCAGTACCTTCGTATGTCCGTCCTGATCCAACACTCGACGCGGTCGATTCCCGTGGTCGCAGGCTAATTTAACTTTCAAAGGTACACTCAAATAAAATGGCCCCGCGGGGTCCGCAAGTCAACAGAAATCAGCGACAGATATTCTGGAGTCCTTCACTCCCTCTGCGTGCTATGCGAGGTAACAACTGAGACTAGGAGTCACCATCACGGGCCGGAGAGAAAGAGGTACACCCCCTTGGTTCAATCTTGGTGCTTCACAACGCAAGCAAAGACAAGGTCATCTGGCACAGAAACTGTTGAGTACAGTTAAAAATTGTAGAAACAAATACCGATCTTTCGTTAAGACAGCATCCAATATATTTCCCATTGCTAAGCAAACGAAGAGGGTGGGTGGGTGCGTGGGTTGGGAAGGCTGATAGAACCCAGACGGTGTGTCCTTCCCGTTGAAACTAAAGCAGGCCTGACATCCGTGTCCTTCCTTGGCGCTTCTTTACGCGGCACAACATTGTCTGGATTCACGCGCCTTGTCCATTTTTCTACCCTCGTACCCGTTCGGCAACCAATCCAATCATATGAAGAACAGGTCAAAGAGTACGATGAGAGACTCTACCGGGAACCCTCATGAGGGCGCAAAATGTCGTAAAAATCGAAGTTCAGGACTAGCTCTCTGCCATCCACTTTTTTCAGCATGGCATCCATGAAGACGCGATACATAGTCGTTTCGCCCAAAAATGCTGACCCAACACACCTTCCCTCCCCGTAACGCAGTCGCAATAACTTCTCACACCCTACAACTACGATAGTTGTATTTGTTGATCCAATCAACTACTGGCTCAGAATCTTGTGCAACTAGTCGGTTCCGTTCACCTACGGATAGTTGAACCCTTACCCAACTAGAAGTAGTAGTCCAGTTTAGTCATAGTTGTAAAGTGTGTACAAAAAACTTCTACAGGACCGACTACCGCAAGCAGTCCATAACGTATTGTAATCTTCAACATACACAATCGTGTGACGGAAATAGTACTCAATCTGTCTCCGTTGCGACTGATCTGAATGCGACTTCCCAACAAAAATGCGCATGGTGCTACTGTACTGATCGACAATATTTCCCAATCCAGCACCACGCTAGGAGAATGCCTTGCTCCACATTTTCTTCTCCTTCTCTTGCTGCTTCTTCAGAACGCTGTCCACCTGTTCGTTGGCGGGAGAAATACACCGTGGACAGGGTGCAATGCGGGGGCAAATGGTACAACTACCGTCAGTGAACAAAGCCGCCAAACCACTATAAACCTTGCCCGCCCAATGTGTTCAAATAGAACAGGGTTGAATCCAAAGCCTTTGAGATAGAGAAATAGATGTTGACCATCCTCGTCGCAGCTGCATGTCAAGAACCCAAGCCTATAGCTGCTTCCATCAAGTAGTGCCTCTCGTACTCTCCACCTCTCGTACCCAAGACGAACATTTCAGGAAGAAGAGAGCTTCGACGCTACGAAGAAAAAGAAAACAAAACGTCGGCCCCACCTTCTTGAGCAGTGTCGCAACAGCCTTGTCCCCGGGGGCGTATGCCTGCGCCTTGTCAAGGTCGGTCTTGGCGTTGTCGTAGTCTTTCTTGGCGAAACGGGCGTACGCCCGACGATAGAGCCCCTTGCTCGATTCAGCGTCGAGCTTCAGCGCAAGGGTGCAGTTGTTCACCACCTTTTGTGTTCGAGGTGTTTCATAAATCGATATCAACGCAATAGAGAGTCGAGGGAACGCAGCGGAAGAGGCGGTGTGTGGAGCTTGTTTGATGCCGCATGCCACGTGCCCTTCGACGACGTCGGGCGATTCACACGAACATCGTTATGAGGCGGCGGCAAACACGGGTACATTCTGCTCATCACTCCCTGTTTGCCGTCGCTCTCATCTTGTATTGCGCCGGTGTGTTCTATTCTCCTGCGCAGTATTGTTCCACCGCGCTAACGGCCAGCCAAACCTCCACCGCCAAAAGGCCAACCGAAAAAAGAAAGAAAGACGAAACAATCCAATCGTTTGGCGTACAGGCTAGCCAAATAGCATTCGCCAGACCTCTCCCAAGCCGAGGCTAAATCCCCAGCAGCAAGTCGCGCAAAGCCGCAAGAGGGCCGACCTCCTCTCTGCCGCCCGTGTGCGCGTACCTGGTCCCAGCTCTGCAGCTTAAGGTAGCACTGTGCCAGGTTCAGGTACAGCGAGAGCTGCACCGCATGGACCTCCTTCTGCTCTTCCGCGTTGAGGTCGAACATCTTGGCGGCGTGCGTGAGGGCCTTGGAGTAGCGCGCCCCGGCCTGGCGGTAGTTCTGACCCTTGAATAGCTCGGTCCCTTCCTGCGCGGCAACAAGGGGACAGGGGAGGGTCAACATCGCTGTATGATGGTAATCGACGCATAGCGGGCAGCAGGGAGAAGGTCTGACGAGCGCCCAGGGAAGATTTTTCTTCATCGATCAACCGGACAAAGGGACAACACGTCTAGGGGCTGCCCGCCGCGGAGCTTGAGAACCTCAAGAATACACAGCGCAATGTACTCCAATCCTTACCCTTGCAGAGCGCTTGAAACCACTCAAAAATTAAGCGACCCCACAACGAATCAAGCGTTGTTCACGTTTCAACGAGATGCACCCTTTCACCTCCTTGTTCTTGATCACGAGACGCATCCTCTCAGGCTTGGGAAGCTTTCGGGTGTCGTGGTCGTCGCCCTCATCCGGGTTGTTCTTTTTCTCCTCCTCGAATGCCTTCGCTTCAGCTTCCATCTCAGCCTCCACCTATTGAAACAGCGCGCACGGTAACGTCAGAACCATCGTCCCATGTCTGCAAAGCTACTTGCAGTACCCGTGCGAGAAAAAAAAGGTCGAGGGAAGAACAGTCTCGGAAACATGGTACATACTTCACCACAACGACATTTCAGCAAGCGAATTTGATTGGTCCACATCCCAGAAACGACAAGTTCAAAGCGTGCAGAACGCAGAACACAAACAACGACTGCGGTGAAGCGGATGAAGGCCCACCTTCTTCTTGTCCGCTTCCACCGCTTCAAAGAACGCCTTGGCGACGTTGCCCTTCAGCTCAGCATCTATCTGCACGGCGGGCGGGTCGCGGAGTACCAAAGAAAAATAAACAGTAAATACGCACGTGGAGAGAGGTGACCAAACATCTACCACGACAGAGCGGCAGCAGCCCGGAACGGAACAATAATCTACCACAACAAACTGGCTCAAATATACGAATAACTGCTGTAATATGATAGCAGTGCGGCGTGTACGCATCGATTCGTGTATCCGCAAGTAATACACGTAGGTGGATATCACGTTCACTGTGTGGGCCAGTTTATTGGTCTCTTCCTAGCGGTATACATAGACGAACATACAGCCAGTAGAGATCTGGAGACCTAACGAACGATGTTCTTCACGTGTCTGAGGATTATTACCGAGAAGATCCACCGAATGCTGCGACCATGCGGATTAATCTCGAACCTGAGAAAAGTGTCCACGAATAAACACGCTCTCTTTTCCGTCACCCTTGCTCAAGTCTATTGGGCTTGTCGGCCACGCTTGGCATTCCTCGCCACCTCTGACGAGAGGCGAACACCTCCGCTGGTGGACGGTAAAACAATTCACCACTTTCACGGGGCTCTGCCTCGGTAGCGAAAGGGTATGCAACTTCCCAAATGTCGAAGTTGAACAGCATCGCAACGGGTGGGACAGACACGGAGCATGAGGCTTCGCGTGAACCGACTGAGCAGTGAGACGAACCCATACGCTCAGTCGCTTGTTCACAAGAACAAGAGGCAAAAGACGTTCAAGAGGGCTGCTGCTGCTGCTGCTCAGGAACAAAAGACCGAAACGGAAGGGTCTGCGGCAGTGGTGCCGAAAACCTCGACCAGAACGGACAACGCCGTCTCGCCGATGGTGACTCGAGATGGCGTTGTCCGTTCTGGTCGGGGTTTTCGGCACCACTGCCGCAGACCCTTCATTTTCGGTCTCTTGTTGCTGAGCAGCAGCAGCAGCAGCAGCCTTCTTGATTTTTGCTTTTTGTTGTTCTTGTGAACAAGCGACTGAGCGTATGGGTTCGTCTCACTGCTCAGTCGGTTCACGCGAAGCCTCACGCTCCGTGTCTGTCCCACCTGTCGCATTGCAATCCAGTTTCGCCATTTGGGGAGGTTGCTCGCTACACACAACAGGCTGTCTCTCGTCAAACGTCGACGAGAAACCCACTCTATCGAGTCACAGAGTCCCCCTTGATGTGGTAATTTCACCGCCAACCTACGGAGAAACGCAAGCAAATCAATACCAGGCATAGGGCATCGTCGGTAGGAACGTTGCATGTACCACACTTCATCAAGAGCTGAAAAAAACGAAACAACGACACCTC